TAATTTTTGTAATATTAACACAAAATAGAAAGTAAATATATTTATATTAAAAGTATGTATATAACAGTAATTATATTCCTTTATAATATGATATGATATTCATATTATTTAAACAAAATTAATAATCTAATAATTTTTTAGTTTAAATATACTAATGACATCACATTAATAATTAGAGAAATTATACTTTTTATATATTTGTTAATTTTTAACAAAAGAATTGCTTGTAAAGTTGATAAAAATTGTATATATTTAATTTAATTTTTGAAATAATAATAAAATATTTATAAATGGTAATCGAGATTGGAGAGCAGGTACCCAAGGGGTGGTACTCGAACTTTACTCGAAGCTAATATGGATAGTGAAATCACTACCCGAACCTATCCCAAACCCAGTTATAGGGTACCCTAACCCTATATAATCAGGTCAAGCATCTACGAGCTATCCCTAAATATACAGTGTTTTGATTAAAATAGATATTTTTATAAGAGTATCGACAGAGCTTAATTGAGGACTCTAGGTTAGTAATTCAACCCATTAGAACAAGTTAAGGGAGAGAGGTAAGATTTAGATGAAGTGTGAGAGATATTGTAATTCTAGACTTGTTTGAGTTGATTTTTATCCAATTTTATTGCTGCTTCAATTTTTTAGGTTAAATTCTTGTTAATTAGATTTAGTTAATTTATAATTTATTTAGTTACTTGATTTTGTTTGTTTGGATATAATTAAATTATGTTAATTTTAGTAATTAGTAAAATTGTAGATCAATTCTTTAGGAGATCGATATTCTATTTATCATTATGTTATCTTTTCGATACATATGCTTGCATGGATATAAAATTAGAACAACAGATATCAGCAATGCAGTAAATGAGAATAAAAATCATTCCACTAAAACCCTACGCAATACCCAAGAGACCAAGCCTGTCACATGCATCATGTTGTTTCTTTTGGCCAATTACAGTGGCTATGGTGAGGAAAAAGATAGTGGATATGAACTCAACTACGAGTGCTCTCTAGAAAAGACTAGAGCTTGAGCTTAGCCATGTGTCACAGCCTTAACGTGGATCATGTGAATCATAGAGATATTTTCCCAATAAATAAAGCCATAAGTCCCACGTCAAACAGACGCTTTAAATGAAAAGTCAAGGGAAGATGTCATGGTCAAAATGAACAATATCTCATAAGAGTTGATGTGTACTATGACATCATGTCAACAAGTAGTGTTGGTGGAGTGTTCACGTAGTCTTTGCGACTTTGTCGTTCTTTACTAACTTCCTTCACTATATTTTGGGATTTCTCATTGCTGTTATTGCTCTATAAGCAATTCATTCTAAAGTACCTGTTTGACATTTGCAACAGGTTTTTTTTTTTCTAACGCATGTATCTGACTACTAACAAAAAATTTGAATACTTATAAAATTATTACTTATTACACTTTATTTTTTTATAATAAATCAGATAATCACAATTCAAACAATTTATGATTAATCTTCGAACTTTTAAACAAGTAGGTCTTTCATACTAGTTGCTCATGGCCATTTTCATGCCCACTTGGGAGGGCTGTTTTTATAAAATCTCCACAGTGGGAGAGCTTACGTCATAATTTGTGGTGGCAGGCCTAATCATAGTGTCAGGCTTTGAATATGAAATTGAGATGCTACCTTACAAAGTTAGCCGTCCTCCCTAGATTGAGAAATGAAGAGTTGATTTATGATTCCGTTACCTTTTTTTAAAACAAGTTCATTGCATAAACCATGCTTTTATCACATGAAACTCTTTGTTTTTGCTCATGCTTAAACCAACTAGTGATAAATATCCAAAATAGAGCAGACAATTCATTAAATTAAAACTTTAACACTAGAGTTCAAGACCCTCTAAAATCTTGAATAATCTTTATTACTTGCATGAAAATATTTGGATTTCCACATTAGTTTCAAAAGTAGATGCCAATGTCTTTAATGATAATTTTTCCATTAATTTTCACTTTTTTCAAATTTTGAAGCACGTGCTATTAATTAAAGAATTAATCCTAGTTATATGGTTATCTTGAAAATTTATAATCTAATTTTGTTAGATATATATTATATTATTATTATGAATCGATTTCATATTAGGATTGAATCGCATTTAATCTCAATTGTAAATTTCAATTATTAATATAATATCAAGTGTATAAGATACATAATTTCAATTAAAAATCTCCATTGTGAGATTTTTTTTCAGTATCGAAAAGCTAAGTAGAGAGCAATGATTGTCATTACCATTGCTTTCAATTTCAATATTTGGGTAATATAAAATTGAAGCTAAATGGTTAAGTCGTCCCACATAAATAGGAGAATAATGTGAGAACCCTTGCATCCATTATAAAATCTGAGCTGAGACCTGGCTAAGCCATCTTTGCGCTTGGGGCAATGACGCAGCTAGTGAGGTTCTAACCGAGGCGCGTCTATTGCTGGTTGAAAACTATTTCCAAACCCCCTCTTAGGCCTGGGTTCGGCCCTGGCCTTTGAGAATTTCTAGAAGGGCTCCCTTTGGGGTAAAGCTCTACAATTCCTAGTTTTGAAAGGTTTCATGTTTATTTTGCAAAGATGTGTAGGGTATTTATTAATTTTGATATACTTTGGTAAATGAAATATTTAAAATTTATAATTATTTAAATTTTTTTTAAATTTAGTATCTTAATTCAAACTTTAATAAATGTCCATTACATTACCTGATAATTATTTAAATTTGTTTAAAAACTTAATTATGTAAAAAAATGATTAAAATGTTCAGAGTGTATATATAATTACTTGAACCTGAATTTGTATCGATATTTATATACAATAACATTTTCATTTATATTTCATATAATTCACTAATAATTAAATTTATAAAAATACACAAATAATAAATATTAAATTTAAATAATAAAAAATAAATATATAAAATATTAATTTAAATAACTAAAAATAAATATTCAAACAACTTAAACAACTTTACAAGTTTAATTAACTATATAGATTTGTTATTAATTATATGAGATTAAAAAAAATAATTAGGTTCTAAAACTGTTCTAATCTCATAACTTTTTTTTAAAAATATATTTTATAAGTTTATATAAATAAATATATATATATTACAATTAATAATTTAATAAGTTATAATTTTTGTAACGTTAATACAAAATAGAAAGTAAATATGTTTATATATTTAAAATATATATACTAAAAGTATATATACTAAAGATAGAGCCAATCTGACCATGGCTTACACAAAACAGTCAGCGTGTCTTCACAAACATGAAACAGTAGCTAAATTCTAACGAGGAATCAGAACCCACGAGGCAAACCAAAACTCGTTGGTGGATAACAAAATGCTTGTACAAATTTAAACTCGTACAATAGAACCTTTTAAGTACATAGGATTAAAGACTTTTAAAGACAATAAAAAGAAAGCAGGATTCACTAGGTATTGACTTCAGTCTGGTTTCTTCAAGTTCAAACAATTATCTGTTGCTTGACTGAACAACTCCTGCACCTGTTTCAATTCCTTCTCTGGCACCAAAAACACAAATAAAGCATATAGATTTTTAGATTTTTCTTCATTTCAACTTTTCTTTTCCCAAGGTACAGTTTAGATCCCAAGTTTAATGTGGGGAACTTAATCCTACAGCAAGGTTGAAAATAACACATGTACCATTTTTAGAAAATCAAAAGAAATGGGTATGTAGAATGACAGCAATGGAGCAAACATCTTATTAGTTTTGTCTAATACAACACTGAAGGGATGTCTAGCACAAAAAATTTCTTCTTGAGATTAAGCTGCATACTAGGTCTTAACAATCCCACACCTATTTTGGAACTTATTTCCCTTGTTCTTTATTCATTAAAGAGGAAATCGAATTTGAAACAAAATTCAGTCTTTAGAACATGGAAGGCAACAAATCTAGCGAACAACCCAAATGATAGGAAAAGGTACCTGCAGCCTCCAGTTGCTTCTGAAGTTCTTGGCCTACGGCATTATTTTCGGCCTGGACAACAGGTACGATAAAAAGACAAGAAAAAGACAATTAAGACATGTAAAACCGGAAAACAGTAAACCTAGTCGAGACTCTATCTACCTGGAGTTCAGCAATCCTTCTAAGTTGAGCTTCTTCACCTCCTTCGGAAGATGGAAGTGCTGCAACCAAGGCATCAAACTGTTGAAAGTAGTAGTAACAATCAGTAACATCCGACATAAGGCCATGAGAGAAGGAACTGATTTGATCCAATCAACCGATTATACTACTATTTGATTCCTAAGATTATGGTATTAAAAAAAAAAAATTCTGATAAAATCAATAACCCGTCCTCACCTGTTTAGCGGCCTTAACAAGAGCAGCACTCATGAGCTTAGGTTGGTCGGGGAAATTCGCCGAGTCCTCAGTGGGATTAGCAGGGGGTTCTGGGTAATTTGGGGAAAGCCTGACGGGTGGAGCGTCTCTTTGCAACGACCCGAAAGTGTTGAAGGCTAGGGCAGCTATTGCATTTACTTGTTCTTGTAATTGGGAAATTATATCCATCTTCCGAAACCAATGAGAACCCAAATTTTTATACAACAGATCGAACACAGAGTAGCCAAAACTTTGGCAACTGTAACTTCAAAGTATTTGGTCTTGGTGATTCGTAAACTGCTTAAAACTTAAGACCCAAAGAGTAGACACCTGAAAAATGGAAATAAATAGATTAATTAAAAAAATAATAATTGAGCCTAAACAAAATAAAAGTGGAAAAGAATAAAAATATCTAGAAAAAAAAATGAAGTTGAAAATCAGAAATGAAAATGAACAAGAGAAACAGACAAAAACACAAGGCACGGGAGGTGGCAGAAAGGGCACCTCTGGAGCGGCTTTAAAAGCCACAAGCCTACACTTAAAAAAGGGACACAAAGAAACCGGAAGAAAGAAAAAACCCTGGAGATCGCTGCGAAAAAATCAAGAAAAAACCTAAACCATTCTAGCAGCCGAATCCATAACCCAAATGAAAAACCTCAATCAGAATCCCAAAAGGGAAAAGAAACAGAAAAATTGCAACCAAATAACACGCAAATATAGGAGAGGGGAGGGGGACCTTTCGTTTTGAAGGTTTCATCCTTGAAACCTCTCGGAATAGAGTTTCTTTGGGTTTAGGGTCTCTTTAGGGTTTTTACTCGCTGAGGAGAAGTGAGGGGAGGCCACCTGGCTCACCGGCAGCTGGAGAACGGCCAAAAGCAAGGGTGGTTTTCAGTGTTTGTTTTTAGAGAGAGAAAAGCGTTGGGGAGGCGCCGTTTGAAGAGAGAGAATGGGAGAGTGAGAACAAAATCGGGCAGGGTTTCACTTTACTAACGGTGCCGTTTTACGGAGTAAAGTGTTGACAAACAGTTTTCTTAATTAAAAATACAATTATTTAAAGGAAGTTATAGAATTCTAAATTATAGAATTATTCAAAGTAAATAAAGCAGTAAATTTTAAAAATAAAATGCATGCATGAAAAAACAATTAATAAGTGCTTTGCTTAATATGCATCATTGACATTCATTTATCATTGCATTCAATTTGGGTGGATATTTTTGCACATAAATGAGAATCGATGATGAAACTTTCTCAGAAAATTTATTATTTTCAATAAAAGATTTTTTATTTTCTTTTATATTAAATAAACTGATTTTGCATCATATAATATTATACTTTATATGTAAATGATAACTCCAGATAATGACACTTTCTCGAAAAATTTATAACAATAAGTTTTTTTGAGTAACTCTCTTAAATGAGAAAGTAATCTCAAATTTTATCATAAATTTAGGATGACTCAAAAAATGCTTTCAATAAAAAGTTTTCATTGGTATTAAATAAATCGAATTTTACATCATATGATATTATACCTAAACCAAAAAAACTGATGACACTCTCAAACCTCACATCAAGGCAATCGGGTTCTCGGACCCAACGAAAGGCTTGAGCTTGAAATGCTAAGTAGGTAGCCTCGGAGGGGGAAGGGGGTCAAACGTATTACATACAAGGAATAAGCTGAAAAAAGGGTTATCCAAGTCAGAAGATAATACTAACTGTGTCTCCCTAATGGTTCTTATGCTTAATTACTTTAGTTAAATTTACATAAGATGGTCATGAAAATTAACTCTTAATTTTTACATCTCCACCTTTTTCAAACTACTGCAAGACTGGTCTCTCCTAGATAGTGGAAAAGAGAATGGGATAATTTTCTCTTTGTTTTCCTCTTTTCCTTACATTCTCTCTTTTCATTCTTCCCACAATTCTGCATGAAGCTTTTGTCAAAGTCCGGCATTAATACAAAAATGGTTCAAAATTAATATTTATTATTAGCCTTTGTTGACAGTTTTTTTCTTCTGCTCTAACCGAGTCTGATATCTGCATCTGGTCCAACATGTAATGATAAAACTAATACAAATGAAAGATTAATTAGATTACAATTAGCAAGTTATTGTACTCAACCAACAACCATTCAATGTTGAGACAGCAAAGAAGTCTTTGCTTGTCCAAGTTTACCCTAAGCACAAGGATGTTTGTTTTAATGGGTCGGAGCTTCAATGATCTAACCATTTAACAAAGTATCTAAACTAAACTAGACGTAGCAATCCACTTGGGAAGTCTGAAAATTGACTTTGAATTTGGTATATATATAAATTTCTCAAATCTCAAACTCCACAGCCATGAAGACTCAGTGCAAATACTTTAACAAAGCTATATATAGTTGTGAGGTACCTAAACTAAAAGGTCATTGATTTAGACTGTACATTTGAGAATTATAACAGCTGGGGAAACGAGTACTCTTCATTTCAAAGACAATGAATATCTAACAATTTAGAATACATACATGTTCCAATTGCTTTTCAAAAGTTATAGTTTTATTCATTTCACAATAGTACTGATCATTGGTTGTCTTGTTTCACAATAGTACTAGATTGGAAAAGTTCATTAAGCTTCCTGGTTTCAGGGTCTTATCTCTATTCTTTAATTTGCACTAAATTTTCAACATTAATTAGTAGTCATTTATTCCCAGTACACTTTCAAAAAGTAAACCACCCTATACACCCACAGCAAAAACAGCCAACCCCACTGACATCTTGTTAGCCACTGGCACACAAAAAGAACCCTCATACAATCAACAAAATGAAAAGAAAACACCTAACGGTAAAGCAGTCCCCTGCATCAACAAAAACCATAATAATCAAGCAGAGGGAGAACAACCAACAGCACTATTACCCATCAAAAGCGTAGGGACACCCCATCTCAAGCAATGCCATCATAATCATCACTGCAAACTTACTTGTGTAGTAACTATTGATGATGATTAGCTACATATTATGTATATTGCCCTTTATGTTATATTTAGCTTAACTATCTATCCATTAAAAAAAAAAAACAGGAAAAATCAACAAAAGAAGAAAAAAAACAAAATGCTCAACAATTAAAACTTGATATACAAATCTAAAAGTTTTAAGAGATAGAGTTTATTTTTGATTATACAATCCAAAACCCAATGATATTTTTTATATTTAATTAAAACATCAATAAAACAAAGAGAATTAATAGTGACAAAGCAATTGGTAAAATCCATAGAAGAAAAGCTTTTTGAATCAAATACTCTGCTTTTTTATTAGGCTTTGAATCAAATGTCAAAACCAAAGAAAAGGAACAAGGTTTTGATGAAATAGGAGAAAGTTCGTTTTGCGCTACGAATTCTATAATGTGCTACTAGAACTTCCTGGTGTATGCTACAAAAATTCTAGGAGAAGGTTCAGATGAAAGAGGACATTTTACATGGCTCTTTGATCATTTCTAGCGATCATGTGACCTTGTCAAAGAAGCCAAAGAATGAGGTAAACATTCATTTCCTCCTGGACAAGCCCCAACTAGTTATTTCGGAGAAATATTAAGACAAAATAATGTTCTCACCTTGACCCATGATATCAACTTCCTTCCATGGGGGTGAATGCAGAGATATCAAACAAAGATATTCAAACATGAACACAGACTAAGATATTCAAACAAAACAGGAAAAAAATCAGTTCGTTATTGCAAGGTAAAGACATAAAAAAAATCAGATTTGGTTTCTTGGTAACCAAACAGGAAAAAAATAAAGAGAGAAGAAGAAGAAGAACAACAACAACAAAAACCTTCAGCACCTTCAGCACAACATCAGAAGCTCCAAAGCTGTAAATCGGAACGCAGAGGAAGTGCAGAGTTTGGGGAGCAAAGCAGGGACCTTAAGCACAGCACGGCAAAGGAAGCTTGAGCCGTCTGTCACAGCACCAGAAGGGGCAGCGAAGTAGAGAATATTTGGTAAATTGTTGAGCCACGGACATGGGCGAGGGATTAGGGATCAGGACTTGAGCCCTGAGGGTTTGGTTTACTTGTAGCCTAGGCTGGTAAACTAAGAAATGGGTGGTAGACTTGTTAAATCTTAGTTTCTTTTTTTAGACACTTGTTTAAGCTCTTGTATCGATAAAAATTTAAATATTTTAAATTTTATTAATAAATAAATAATTGTTAACAACAATAACACTTTAATATATTTATATTAAACTTTCCTATATAATAAATAATTCTTAATAATATATCTTTACATATTCATAATATATTATATATTAATGTATAATATAATAAATTTAATATTATCAAATTAGAAATAAAATTAATATTATTTTGTTATTTTTTTTATATTAGAAGTTATAGCAAGGTCCAACTACCTTTTAATCGTTTTATTAATAATAATAAAGATTAAGTACAGCAAGAAAGGAGATCAAAACCTTACCTCCAGAATTACATACATGATAAGAGATAGAATTCCTAATACATGAATTACCATCTTTGCTTGAATTTCTGTTGCAGAAGATAAGTAATTTGCCTGTTTACAAAGATCTATGAAAAGTTTACAAAACAAAGCCCAATACAAGGAAAATAAAAAATAAAAAAGAAGAGTACTATTCTTTTACATTTATTTAAAATGAACATATAATAAATTTAATCTATTTAGTTTGAAAATACCATATAACTCTCCTCGTGCTTTAGTGAATACACAAAGATCCTGATGTTTGTAGCCTTGATTAGACAAGAAATCTACTGCCTAATTACTTTCTCAATAAATATGTGAAATTCTATAAGAAATAATCCGTAGACATTTTCTTATAGATTTCAATAAATATCGTATATTATTTTGTTATTTATTTATAATATATTGTTTATTGTTATTAACTAAATTTATTATTTTGTAAAATATTAATTACTGATTTATAATAAGTATAAGTAATATTTTAATTTTATATAGTATATATTTATATGTATTACTTTGTTATATATATATATATATATGTGCGTGTGTGTGTGTGTATGAAATTAATGATACAACTAATACATTATAATATTTTATGTCAAATTTTATATAAATAAAAACTCATTATAATTAATATGTTATAAAAACTAAAATGATAACTTATAACGTCATTAATAAGTGTAATCATATAAATAAAGTTTATTATAAGTTATAGTAATGTTTATGTATAAATCAAATATATGTATATATAATATATTTATACAAATATATATATTTATAACATATTAATATGTAGGATGTTTACTATCATTTATTAATATTAACATATTAGTTATATCATTTAAAATATATAACTTATAATTTCATATTAATATAAATTTATAAATAAATATATATTTAATATTAAATTACTATGATTATACTTTGTATATGTACATATAATAAACTAATACTTTTAGGTATATTATTAATAAGTTTTCTATCAATTCTTCTTAACTTATATTAACTAATATTAGAATACATTAAGTATTATTATTTTTATATACCTTATGTGGTTATATATTTATAGATAGTACTAAAGATTTCAATTATTAAAATTATAATATGAAACTAATCGTAAAGGATGACGTAATCAAAGTAATATTAAAATTATCTTGTATGAATATAACTAATGTAAAACATAATGTTATATTACTTTATTGTATATATATTAGTGATACAAATTATATGTTATAATATTATATATAATACAAAGTTTGCATAACTAATAGCTAATTATAAATAATATTTTATAAAAAATAAAATGATAACTAATAAAGTTATTAACTGTAATCATATAAATAAAATTTATTATAAGCTTACATATAAAACATCGGTGTAATAAGTATAACATATTAATATATATATGTAGGATATTTAATATCCCATATATGTATATCAACTTATAAAGTTATATCATTTAAAATATATAATACATTTTTGATATTTTTGATGAATAATACATTTCTATATATGTATGTATGTGTGTGTGTGTGTGTGTGTGCATTTCTTTGTTATGATTATAATTTGCATACCTGCATATAATAAACTAATATATTTTAAATATATTATCTTAATAAGTTTATTATATATCTATCTTTTAAATTTATATTAACTAATATTAGTACATAACTCAAGTATTATTACTTTTTGTTTAATTTATTATTAGATTTTATCATCTATTTTTATAAAATTAAAAAATTTATTATGTTCTTTTTATAAACTTTTTAATTTCATAAATTAATGAATTTGGAACTATTAATTTATAATTTATGATTCAATAAAGTTTTCAAAATATATAAAAAATAAACAAAGAAAATCATATTTAAAATTTTAAAATTATAAACCTCAGTATGCATATATTTAATTTTATTAATATATTTCTCATAGAGGATTAATATAATTTTAAAAAATTCTTAATAAATTTTATATACAAGATTTAAAAAATAATAATACCGATGAAATTTTCCCACAAAATATTTCTTTGAAAAATTTCTGTTAGTAATAGTTTCTTCCAACAGAAAATTTCATTGAAAAATTTACTAGGCTTTAAATTTTTTTTGTGCCTTAAACTTTTTGATGGATTTTCAATGGATAATTTTCTGTTTGAAAATTTCAATGGAAATCCATCAGAAAAAATCAAAATAAATTTATATTAGAATTATGTTTGGAAATCCGTTGGAATTTTATAAAAGAAATTTTTTCGTCGGAAAAAACTTATTTTTTGTATTGTAGATACAACCAAAACAAGTAAATAAGTATGAACAACTAAAATTACATGATGCATGATCAAGAGAAACTCATGTAGCCATCCAACCATGAAGTCCACAAAATGATGTGATGAGATGTCTCTCGTAAAAGCTCAAGATGGTGGTGGAAACCAAGATCGGAACTCATCCTCCAGTCTTCCTCTAAGACATCCACACGAGCAATCAACCTAGAGTCCATGGTTTCATTATATGAGAGAAGGTTAATGAAGGTTTGCTCGACATCGAATGTGGTGACATAAGATAGTTAGAGCTAGGTGCACTAGGTAAAGTACTAGATGGACCATTAAGATAGGTACTCGACTCATGCTTATCTCCCTCATCACCCTCATTATCATCTTCATCCAAGCGTTGTTTTTGAGTTCTAAACCTAGCTCGTTGACAGCATGCTCATTGATGGGCTTAAACAAGGCATGGTTTTCGAGTGGATCACAATGGGTGTCAACTTGAAAATGATAATTGATTTCGTTGACTAACATGTTGTAAATAAGGGTTTGCAAGACCCCTTGGATAGTGCGGAGCATGTAATCCGTGATAAATTTGGAAAAGTAGATGTGGTGGTTGTTTCTGATGTGATAGATTAACCAAAGGTCCTTACTAATAACAATGAAATAGTTTGAGCTGTGAGGGAGGACAGTGTGAGTGATTATGATATGCAAGACTCAATCATAAAAAGATAACTTTTTACAACGAATGGTGTCTTTGTCATTTAGTGGAGGATAAACAAACACAAAACAAAATGTACCATCATAAAAAACATAACTCATATCACCTCGTTGGGTATGCAGATAAAGGACTCAATCTAGGATAGCACGAGTGATAAGGATGCGCTTTCCCATTACGTGAATTACAAACCTATCATCATGGTTTACTAACTCACCAGTTTTGGAATCAGGATAATTTTTAGTGGCATTAAAGTAAAAGATTTGAACTAAGTTTTCATTGAATTTGCTATTCAGCCTTAAAAAATGCGTCCATCTTAATTGTTCAAAATTGACAAGATACAAAAAACCAATGGACTTTAAGTAGTGAAAATCAATTTTATGCCTAGGCGTTACCTTTTGTTTAGCGAAATCATCTTTGAATTTTTGTGCATAGGATAGTTGAGTGAAATTGCTCTAGAACGAGTCCCCTATCGGTTGTGTGGAGGATTTGGCACTAGTAGAACTGCCTGAACCCCTCTGAGCAATCACTTTTATGTGTTTTGTCTGTGGCTCATCATTTTGGGAATATTGGAGATTGAAGTATTTTGGTGAGAAATGGACTAGTAAAAGTGTTTAGGAAGGCGAGGGAAGTGTTTTAATCAAAATAATTTCTCTCAAAATGCAATAAAATTTGAGAAATTTGGAACTTAAGGTTTTATGGAACCTCAACTCTAATTTTTCAAAAATTTGGGACTAATTTGTGTACAATTTGTGTTTTTGATACTAAGGATTAAAAGAAAAACACCTTAAATGGTTTATAATTCAAGAAGATTACTATTAAAGTGAGAGGATTTAGAGGAAGGAAAATTGGGTGCCATGGGTTTTTGAGAAAAATGAGTGTCAAAGCTACTTCAAATAGTTCTTCTATTGATAGTCCTGAACATTTATCAGTAGATGACATTCAAACATTGTATTTTTTATTGTGGGTGTCTATCTATTGATAAATTATGCATAGGATTTTTGTTTTCAGTCTCAACCTGTTATCTATCAATAGATGGTGCACAAGAATTTTAATAGAGGCCTCTAGAAGGTATCTATTGATAATTATGGATCAACTATCGATAAATGTTCTTGTATGGTCTTGAAAAACACGGTTTTTAACTTCTAAAAACATGTGAAAGGGTCCATAAATGAATCTTTTACCAAAAATAGGCTTATGCTTGGTGTAAGGACACTTGAAACATCATTTTGAACTAGTGTAAGTATAATTTTTGGATAAAAAACCTTGAATTAAAAACAAGAAACTCTTTCTTTCACACTAATTGAGGTACCTTTTGAATTGGATGGCCATGCATAGGATTAAATTTTGATACTTTTATCATCTACGGCAGATTAATAAGACCTAGTTCACTTTTTATTTAGCAGAATTGTTCTCTATCATGAGGTTTAGTGAAAATATCAACTAATTGATCTTTTGTATCTACATGTTCAAGAACAATGCCTTCTTTTTGAACATGATCTTTAATGAAGTGATATCTTTTTTCTATGTGTTTGGTTCTAGATTGATGGATAGGATTTTTTGTAAGATTCATGGCACTAATATTATCACATTTAATGGGAATTCTTTTCATTCCTAGTCCATAATCTTTTAATTGTTGTTTCATCCACAACACT